TGTACCTGAGACTGACACGGAAGGAGTCCTCTGATCACAGAGAGATATGGGATTTTGACGAAATTGATCTGAAATGAAAGGTGACGTCAAACATGTGTTTATACATATGTATATGTGTATACGTGTGTGTGTGTGTGTGTGTACCTGTGTGTGCCTATGTGTGTCTGTGTGTGTCTGTATGTCTGTGTATACTATACATACATATGTCGAATTTTATTGGCGAGAGATTATATTTTTTTTATTTTCCTTTTTTTTTTTTTTGTGTTCCTTTTATTTCTTTTTGTTTCAGATCTATTTGTAACATTTGATATGACTTCTATTACAGAATAGATACTAATGTACAAATGCGAAGTGTTTCTGCTCTTTTTTTTTTTTCTTTCTTTTTTTTTCTTTCCTTCCTTTTTTTCTTTTTCTTTTTCTTCTTCTTTTTCTTCATTTCTTTTATCCATTTTATCCATCTCTTTTCTTTTTTCTTTTTTTTTTTTTTTTGGTCCTCTCATTATATGTAATATAATCGTTCATATCCCTTGATAATTTGATACATGACAAAACTTCGTTAGAATTTTCACGAGTCCAACGTCTTCCTGAATTTATTAGCCCAAATGTCAAGGTTCTAACCTTTGCTTAAGATAAATGGAAAATGATAATTTCTAAATATTATAAAGGGGATAAACCAATTTACTTAATTCCATATATTTAGATCAAGATTGACACAAGATACATAACCAAACTTTGTATCGCGATAATATAGGTATACATAAATCTCAGATATCAAATTTTTCAAAGTAATTAAAGAAAAAAAGGAAGAAGAAGAAGAAAAAGAAGTAGTAAAGTTAAAAAAAAAAAAAAAAAAAAGGAAAAAGAAAAAGGAGCAAAAGAATACTAAACTCGAACAAGAAAACAAACAAACAAATAAAACAAAAAAAAATTTGTTAATGAATATTTAAATTGGTATACTATTTCCTCTCTTTCCATATCGTCCTTCCCATCTAAAATCAATTTCCTCTGGAAAATCCCAAATTCAGGAGTTTGAAATTCCTCTTTTAGGAGACACTCCATCCCTCTCTCTCTCTCTCTCTCTCTCTCTCTCTCTCTCTCTCACACACACACATACACACGCACGCACACAAGAAACGTTATCTGAGAAACTCTCAGTCTTTCTCCAATTCTCTATCTCTTTCTTACGCACACACGAAACGTTATCTGAGAAATTCTCAATCTCTCTCTCTCTCTCTCTCTCTCTCTCTCACTCACTTACTCACTTACTCTCTTTATCTATCTCTCTCACTCACACACATATTCTCCCTTTCTCTCTTTCTCTTAAACACACACAAGATGATATTTGAGAAATACTATGTCAGTCCGTCTCTTTCTCATTCTTTCTCTCTCTCTCTCTCTCTCTCTCTCTCTCTGTTACAGACACATACACATACACATATAAACATTTACATAGAAACGTATACATGCACATACACATACACATAGATGAAACGATATCACTCGCTAATCTCAACGCGTACATCGAAATAGAATCGTCCTAAACGAGAATAGAGAAAGGTTCTCTGTTTATATGTGTTTGTATATGTATATATATATATATATATATATATATAATGTGTATCTGTGTGTGTGTGTATATCTGTGTGTGTCCTATCGACGACGTTAAGGAAAAGGGTCGATCTATCCCGTACCAGCACCGTGTACGATATCCTTGACGAAGGCGAGACTTCGTTCTTTCGAGCGAAGGGTAAACGTAAATCAAATAGAAAGAGCGCTTCCCTAGGAAACTTTATAGACGTGTTAGGGACCCCCTTTAGAAATGTCTATGGATACTTTGCTAATGGTTACGTACTTGTCAGTATCTACAACCTACTTCGATATTTACTGATACGTCCTCCCTTTTCTAACTTTATATCTATATATCTTCTATTTCTATTTCCTATTTCCCCTTCTTCTTCCTCTTCTTCTTCTTCTTCCTCTTCTTCTTCTTCTTCTTCTTCTTCCTCTTCTTCTTCTTCTTCTTCTTCTTCTTCTTCTTCTTCTTCTTCTTCTTCTTCTTCTTCTTCTTCTTCTTCTTCTTCTAATTCATAGAACAAAATGCGCGTGCAATAGAAGTCCCTAGAGATTCGATTAACTTCTCCGATATGAACTTCTCTGAACTATCTTCTTCAAACACACACACACACACACACAGACACACACAGACACACACACAGGCACGCACACACAGAGACACACACTCAGACACACACATATGGATATATATATATATATGTATATACATATACATGAGGGAAAAACGATAGATTATTAAGTGTTCCTTTAATCATAGAAATTCAAAGCAAGCAAGAAGTTCGGTGCCATTTCCGAGACTCGATTTAACTTAAATATCCATTTCTACCTGTACTGTATTATACGTCTTTCTTTTTATCTATCTTTCTTTCTTTCTTTCTTTCTTTCTTTCTTTCTTTCTTTCTTTCTTTATTTTTCTTACTGAAAAGTAAGACTATGTTTTATCTGTGGTGTATTATTCAACGACGACTTTCGTATCGACAGCTTTGGATTTGACGGATTTTCTCGTAATCCTATTCGATAAGACACTATCTATCTCTTTCTCTCTCTCTCTCTCTCTCTCTCTCTCTCACTCTCTTTTTTTTTTTTTTTATATAACGGATTTATTTCGTTTCAAATGTCTACTTCATTTCAACTTCGTCGAATAGTTTTTTAAGATGATAGGTTTCTTTCTTTTTTTTTTTTCTTTGTTTTATATATATATATATATATATATATATATATTTTTAACAAAATAATAATTATGATTTATTATATTAACAACAATTACAACGTAATGATTTATCTCATACATATAGATATGTATAAATGATATATATTTATGTTTATTTAAAATGGCTATGATTTTGAGGATATTCAAAATTATTTTAAATCTCCTTTGAATCATTCAATTTGTATATATGTCCTTTGTGTATGTACATTTGTGTGTAGGTTTAAAAAAAAAAAAAAATCAAATTCCATTAAGAAAAATATCAAAGCAATGTATGAAAAGAAGGATTAAATTAAATTTCTATAAATGAATAAATTAAATTTCTTCGACACACATACACATATAGACACACACACACACACACACACACACACATATATATATATACGTACCCATTCATGCTATGTATTCTCTCTCAGAAAAAAAAAAAAAAGAAAAAGAAAAAAAAACTAATTCTACGATCATTCTAAAAATTTATTAGATAATATTTTTAAATAAATTCTAGAATAGTTAAATATCACATATATATGTGTATATGTATGAGATGTTTAGGTAGGATGGACTAAGAATCGGGGGATTTTACGATCATCCTAAAAATATATTACCACTTTAATATAACTCATACAGTTAAATATCATATATATATATATATATATATATATATATATATATATATATATATAGATGATATAGATATGTATGTTTAGGTAAAATGGTTACGTGTATAAAGAATCAAACGATATATAGCTGTTGTAAATTTATTAAAATCTTTTTTACGTCTCTCGTATTTTCAGAAAAAAGAAAAAGAAAAAAAAAAAAAAGAAAGAAAAGAAAAAAAAAGAAACATCAATAACCCCCCACCCCCTCTGTATTTTCGAAACTAATCTTAAATGAAAATTTTTTATACTCTCCCACCTGTCACGCTATACATAATTTTTAACGAAAATGTCATTCTATGATTATTCTAAAGAAAAGAAAAAAAAAAAAAGAAAAAAAATAAAAAACATAAATATATTTATAATATATTAATATTAAAATATATTATTCTTTCGAATAACTCTTACTGTTAAATGTTATATATATTATATATATATATATGTGTGTGTGTGTGTGTGTTTGTACACATACAGGGTGTTCAAAAAAGCATGGGACGAAACTTACACTACGTATTACTGCGATCAAATGGATGAGAAAAAGTTTATAGAAACTAATGTCCGAAAGTGCATTATCGGAAAGTGAAATATGCTTTTAAAGATATTTATGATTTATTGCGAAGAGTTATAAGAAATGTTTGAAAATTTCTCTCCTTCCTGCAAGTATACGGGTATATCAATTCGAATTAATGATTGCCAAACTGAAATATTCAAATATTTCAACTGTATTGATAATAATAAGTAAATGCATTTCGAATACATTCAACGAAGAAGTTCATCATCTAACAATTACTATCGTATTTTTATAAATCAATACATTTTCTCATGGATCTGATAAATAGATGTTCTTAATCCATTGTTGGCCAAATTTTTGTTTTAAATCCAAAAAAAAAAA